AGTCTCAATATAATCAAAAATCCGCAGTCCAAAATCTCTTCTGAGACTCAGGGAAATATTTTAACTGTAAGCCCCTATAAAACAGAAAGACAAATTACATACTCCCAACATACAGTGGAACCAAATATACATTACCATTTCAAAAGGGAGGAATAGAAGCATAGTGAGGAAATACGGGACCGAAACAAGACTGAAAACCAGCAGGACAAACACCAAATCCAGTAGCTCCACGTCCAACTTCTGGGACTTTACTCCCAAAGGGCTTAGATGGCTCAGTCTCTCCAGCTTTGCTGCATGCAACATACATCTCTCTATCGGACTGGTACAACTCCCTGTATGCAGGTCGTCTTGGCAGATGCCTCACAGCTCTGGCATCATGGACATCTTCCTGGGATCTCCATTGCCAACCAGGCTTCACCTTCACAGCTTCACACAATGGCCTATCAGGGCCTTCTTTATGCAGGGAAACCCCTGCTGCACACTGCCTGGCCTCAGCAGCTCTCTGAAACCATGAAGGAAGAACTGATGACCCCTTCATTCTTGCTTCTGTCATGACTCTAAAGCCAGCACCAGGTGAACGACACTGCCAAGTTTGACTACAAGTTTGGGATGGACTCCAGCCTGCTTTATCCATTTTCAAAGGTTTCTCTTCAGTGGTCCCTGCAGCACTTTGTTTTCACAAGTTGGAGGCTTGACTGGGCGTGGTACTGCCCTGGAGGCACTCCCTATTCTTCTTTAAGTTTGAATCTCTAGGCCCCTCCTTAATCACTTTAATCTCCTTATTAAAGGGATCCTCTCCAGCACAGTCCAAGCCTCCAACATTTATCTTCCTAGTGCTCTTTTTCAATCCAAACTGTATTTATTTCTGTCCCATTTGCTCTTTTTCAATGTAGATCTGCACAATATTTACCATTAATAGCCTCCACCATTTCTACATTAGGCTGTCTTGAAATTTCTTCCATCAGAGAAATTATTCCATTGCTTTTCATCTTAGCCTCAGGCAAGCTTTTAGGTTGAGGGCAGACTCCAGCCAGACTCTTTGTCAAACTATCCTAAGTGCTACTTAAGTCCTTATTTCCCTCTGTAACTACATTGTTCTCAGCACTACTTTCTTCAAGGCCCCTACTAGAATGGCCTATTAACCTCCACTTACAGCAATCAATCACTTTTCTAGCCCAACCTTCCAAAGTCTTCCACATTTCTTCAAAACCCCACTGGTCAGGTTCTTCACAGCCAACACTCCACTCCTGGTACCAATTAGTCACTTTTTGTTGCTATGATAGAAACACTGACCAAAATGACTTACAAAAGGAAGAATTTATTTGAGCTCATGGTTCCAGGGGAATTATAATCTGTCATGGCCAGGATGCATGGTGACAGAGATGGCTGGAAGAGGAGCAGAAACTAAAGGTTCTCACATCATCAAGTTGGCACAGGAAGCAAGAGAGCAACTGGAGATCCGGCAAGGCTTAAGAATTCTCTAAGTCCACCCCCAGTGACCGGCTTCCTCCAGGATAACCACACCTTCTAAAACCTCACCAAACAGTACTACCATCTGGGGACAAAATGTCCAAATACTTGGAGCCTATGGGGGACATTTTCATTCAAACCACCGCAGTGCACATAGTACTGCTCTATGTTACTATAATATATATTTTAATTATATACTGGAATGTACATTTGAATATATTCACATGCGTACATACATGCTGTGTTACAATCAAGGGTGTTCTTAGTGCTCCCCACTTTCTTCCATTTCCACTTGTGTTTCTTATTCTGTACCAACTATTAGAAGATCTTGTAAAGATTAGAATCAAATTTGAAAACCTAAGCTCTGTTTTGACCTGATTTCAATCTAGCTCACATGCACCTCAAGTCTTAAAAAGAGAAACTCTAGCCTATTAAATTAGCTCTCTCTGGTGTGACTGTATATAGGTAAATAAGTCATGGCACATCTTCCCCAGTACTTCTCACAAATGAGTCACTGTGAAGATAAAAGTCTGAGCTCCTAATATGGGAGTGTTAGCCCACTAGGTAACATGTGACTCACTCTAGTCTTTACTGATGTACAGTATCACAAATCATCCGAAACCATGATTGCCCCAAAAGTCATATATTCTCTGCAGTGTTTGCAGAGTTACACAAAGGCAGATGATTGGCATGTGTCTGTCTCTGATATAAATTTGTTTGACCCCTTGAGTTGATATTGTTCTTCTCTAGAGCACATGTGGCCTAAAGTTAGTTATGAGTCTTGCCACATCAATGACAGTTTGGTGAAAGTGTCTCCTCAGTTAGTAACTTTAACCTGGAGGTTTCAATGATGAAAGAGGGATAAGTCCACATTCACTCTCATTTGAAACAACCTCACAGATAGCCGGGACTGTTATGAGGAATGAGGAAGCTTGAAAGGACAATATTTCACTGGTCTTGGCCTCATAAAAGTGACCAATGACCCAGAATCCTCCTCCTATCAAACCCTGTCAACCAGGAAGCAAAATCTGTTCCTAGTTTCCAAAGTCTTCCACACACCAACATCAGTTCCTGGTTACACTTTCAGCAGTTCACATCAACATGAGTTTATCCAATTAAATGAATTAAATGTGTTTGTCTGGGACATAGCTCAGTGGTAGAGCTTTTACTTAGCATATTCAAAGCCCTGGGTTTGATCCTTAACACTGCTAGAATACAATTAATAATTAATTCAGTGTGATCTAAGGATTATCTCTTATTCCAAGATTATATCATTCTTGGAACAAAAAACATAAGCCATTCTTTTTATGAAATAATGGTTCTTGACCTCTTGAACTGATTTGATGATGATCTTCCCTTGAGTCTATGTACGCTAAAACTATGGTTGGTGCTGCTATGGCTAGGCCTGCTACACTAATTTTAGTAAGTCATTCCCAAAACTATGTTTTGCAACTTTCCTGCTCTGTGAGACATAGATAAGGCACTGATGGATTGCATAAGCGTGATTTAATTTAAGGAAGAAAAACTGTAAGAAAATTAAAATTACAAACAGCAATGGAAATGTCTAACCATAAATGCTCATAGATATTGTAACTGTTGGACTCCGGCTCTAAGCACATGCAGGGAGCATTCCGGCATCCTTCAGCCACAGTGTATGCCCAGACAAGGACAACAGAACACCCTCCTTACCTCCTCACCAATGCAGAAAACTAATTTTAATCCAAGCTGTATGGTAAGAATTTCTGCCTGCAAAACTAAATGGTAAATCAATGGAAGGGCCACCAGCCCAACTTCCTCTACTTTGTGAGGTACTGCATAACCACATTGATTCTCAAGGACTTCAGCACTCTGGCCCTGTGTGGATCCTGCTGTTCAGTTTTCTGCAACGTTGCTCCTGGTTCCTTTTCTCTACTCCAGGGCTTCTCTCTGCTTCTCCTTACCTTCTGCCTTACCTCCCCTGAACATCTGCCCTTTTCTCTGTAGTAGCCTCCTTGGTACTCAGAGCCAAAATCAACTGCTTCAGGGCACTACGTATATATTTTGCTTTGTCATGTTGGTCCATCCATTTATCCTGAGACTGGGAAAAAAGGGAGGGGGGTTGTAAATTCTACCAGTAATGAAGCTTTGTTATAGGATTCTTTAGAAAACTCAAATCTAGGTTATATTGACTATTCCCAAAAAGGTTAAAAAAGAAAGTTCTAATAGTACCACAGAAAGCATCCTTATCAATTGGGCTAGGTGACTTCAGAGAGGTCAAAGCCCATGACTCCAGCTTGACCCTGAAGGCAGCAGGCTCGATTCACCTCTGAATGAGCTCATAACTCTTAAACAATTCTCTCCAAGGCTACTGGTGCATGAAAGATTGGAGCAAGAGACTCTCCAAGTCCTCCATTGCCTCTCATGTGCTTTCATGTGATGATTTTGTAATCTTACCTAAGTCTAGCCTCTGTTCCAAGCCTAGCCATGCTAAGAGGCTGGCAGAGCAAAGCGGATGGCAGTAAATGCATACCAAGGTGAGGAGCTTGCACTTCCTCACTGCACCGATGCAGCCTCTGCCTCTCCTCAGGGAAATCCTGAGGGTGGACTGGGCTCCTCTGCCCCTATATCTCTTCAGGCCAACTTGTCATTTGTTTTGTTTTTAGCTTTTTAAAGAAGCCATCTAAAAGTGGAAGTGTGAGTGAGCATTGCATTTGGCTTGAACCAATCAGTTAGTTTTATCACTGGCCACTGAATCATGGGGAGACACGGTCTCTTGGCCAACCTGGTGTTTTCTCATGAGCCAATGCAATCTCTGCATCCATGTCCCAATATCCAGTTACCAATCATGGTGGTACACCTTCCTCTACCTCATGGTGTGTAACCCTGGGAAATGGTAGAATGCTGGAATTTGCTTGCATTTTTTTGCCTAAAGAAAATTATACATATATCTATATATGAATATAGATATATAGTGGTTTGTGCTGGGGAGAGACACTTTTAGACATAAAAATATTAGTAATATTTATCAAGTTTGAGGAGCAGAGCCTGGCACATAGGACTGTCAGTCTTTGAGGAATGCTTCAAGGGAAAATGCAAGCCACAAGCCACCTCACGTCTCCTCACCACCTTTAATAAAATGCCACATCAAGTGTGGAATCCATCCGGTGGGAGATGGCCACTTTGTGGGCTTTTCAGACATTCGAACTTTCTGTTATTTCTTTGGTTCTCTTTCTCTCCTACTTGGGCTGTGCCTGGTTAGAGGAAGAGTGGTACTTAACATTTCTAAGGCAACAATTCCCCAAATGCCTCAACCAAAGGAATTCAGTGCACCTGCTCAGAGGGAAGGGAAGTATTCCTCTTGATGTGATATTTTTCCAGGTTGCGTTTCTCTGAACCAAATGCTAACTGATAAATGTTGTAGCTTTCACTGAATACGACTGCATGGAATGCTGTGACTGTGTGCAATGCAACATGATCTAAAAACACTGCCTTTCTTTTTAATCCAAAGGGGACTAGCAGGTTTATTGTGTTTGCATGTGCTTTCCCTCTAGACTCTGGCTGCCCTAACAAGAAATTCAATAAATCTGCTTCCAAACCATCTTGCACAAGCTTTGCATGTCCAGTCTGGGCCTGAGGAAATTAACAAGAGAATAGAACATACCATCGACTTGCGGAGTGGCGATAAATTGAGAAGAGAGCATATCAAGCCATTCTCACTGATGTTTAAAGACTCCAGCCTGGAGCACAAGGTAGAGCTGAGTCTCCACAGTGGCTCTTTTTCTGAAGTAAATTATTGTCAATGTTCATGGGACTAGAGAGCACACCCAGGAGCTATGATTTTGCTGTCTCTGTTTGTTGTTTGATTGGTTTGATTTGATCGGATTCGTACTGTCTTTTCTTACTCTTTTTGAAAATGATGAGTAGACCAAAAGTCATGAAAGAAGATGCTAGTTAGACAAAGAGATCCTTAACTTTACACTTTAGGGAAAAGATGTCTGAAAGAGCAAAGACCCTTTAACTCAGTAACTGTCAAAAGAGTTTCTGCCACTTTGAGACTATGAAGCAAAGCAGCATTGCCAAGCAGTTGCTGCAGCTCTTGGGTGAATGCACTTTAGTTATAGCCCTTGCAACATAATCATGTGGACTCCAGAGATCTGATGTAAACATAAGCAGCAAACAGTCTCAGATTTTTAGATATTATCCTAATTTCCCGTTATGAGCCAGATCAGACTCCACCTCCAATCCAGATCAAGTAATGACTTGTGGATTCTGAGTCAGGGTTAGTTCCTTCCTCCTTTTCTATGTGACATTTGATAAGTAAAGTAACTTCTCAGAGCACACATGCCTTTCTATAAAGGAGGATAATGAAAAACATACCTCCCTCACAGGTTACCTTAGTTATGTTGCTGTTGCTGTGATGAAATACTCAGATGAAAGCAGCTGAATGAAGAGAGGATTTATTTTGGCTCATCACTCAAGACACAGTGCATCATGGTTAGGGGTCAAGGTGCTTGAAGCAAATCATCACATTATCTCTGCAACCAGGAACAGAGAGCAGAAAATGCTGCTGCCCAGCTTCCTTCTACCTATTTATTCCATTCAGGAGCCCAACCCAGGGAATGGTGCCACCCACAGTTAGGGTGGATGTTCCTACCTCAATTAATCCAATCAAGAAAATTCACACACACACACACACCCAGAGGCTCACCTAATCTAGATCATCCCTCTCAGCAAGCTCAGAGTCTCCTTTCCTAGATGATTCCAGGTCCTGCCAAGTTGACAATCAATAGAAACCATCCCATCAGTTATTGGGAAAGTCTTCAAGACAACCTCTTGCTTAGGTGACTTGTTTAGTTATGGCAAACCATCACAATATTGATGGCTCTTTTCCTGTTCCTTTCCCCTACCCCAGCTCTGAACTGGGGAGCGGATGAAATAGGTGGAATGTCCTGCTTAACTGAGCTACTCCTTTGCACTGATAAAAGCAGACAGACTCAGAAGGTGTTTGACATCTGAGGAGCCCGCAACAAGAACAGCAGGGAATTTGCAAGCGAATTTCAGGAGTTTGATTCAATACTCTGTAAAGCTCCAATGAGCAATTCTTCTGTGAGTTTGCTCAGCTGGCTGGGAGATTTTGTTTTCCCAGTTCTGAGAACTCACACTTCTGTGCACATGTACCATTCCCAGTGAGTTTCTCTGATAACCGTCTACAGACTGCATTCTCCAAAATGAATACCTTCACCTATAATCTCCAATTCAAACTCCATTGTGTCTGTGTACTAACCAAATAGAAAGAAAAGAAACATTTTGCTTCGCTCAACAACCCCCAAAATAGCAGGTGTGATTTTCTTATTCATAATATAATTAAAGGCTTAAGGACCAAAATTAAATGCATTTTCTTTCCTGGATACTCTGTAGATGGAACTAGAACAAGCAGGGTGGCTATACAGAGAAGCTTCTCAATTAGCCTGTGTAGATACCTGTGTCCAGAGGTGGACAGAACCTTTTTTATTCTTTCCTTATAAAAATGTACTTGCTTCACTAATGACATAACTCCTGCAGACTGTAGCATCTAGTGTTTGATTTAACAATGTCTGGATTGCATTTGCAGTTCCTGGTACTGAAACAGTAATGGGTCTATGGGAGGCAAAGCATGTCTGAGTCTGAGTTCTCTGGCCAGGGGAGGTTTTTCCAAAGAGTTATAGGGCAGTACTCTGGACAGTCATGACATCTGGCCATTATTAGTCCAGCCGTGTGTCACCTCGTGTGTGCTCTATGAGTTGTCCCCTCCCTCATGTCTCAGAGACTTTCCTCACTGCCTTCTCTGAAATCCTCTCTAGAGACTAGGTAACTACTGAAGATAGATATATAATAGGTGGCATCAATTAAATATCTACAGCTATTAGTACAGAATGACTAATACAACAGAATAAAGTTGATGCTATCATAGACTTCAGCTTATGCTTGATCAAAAGAGAATCAGAGAAATAACTATGTAGCCTAGAGTGCTGGACTTGGAAGCCACAATGACACCAAGGCCGATGCTCTTGTTCCTATCAAAGCCTCTGCCCAGATTCCCAGGACTTCCTCCCGCGGGACCTTGCAAAAAGAAGACAATCCTGCCTGTCTTCATCCTTTCCTTTTTGAGCTCTGGATTAGAGAGAGGCCAATGAAAGGGGCTGGGAAAGGAGGTTATATAGGAAAGGGCCCTAATGCCTTCTCAAGTAAAAACAAGACTCTCAAACTGCAGGATTCTAGAACCAGAGAATTACTTTGGTGTGGTATATATGTTTGTGTGTGCATATATATATATATAATCTGTATCTCAGCTCATTGTATTCACAGAGAAACATCACTCTCACACTTACTAAGGAAAAACTGACCATTCAGGAAGTTAAGCAGAGGTCATAGAGTTCCAAATCCAAGAACCAAATCTATTTCGTTGACTCTAAAGTATCCAAGAGATGTTCTGTTTTGTTGCTCAGAAAGAACAGCTACCCAGTATGAAGTGTCTATGTGAAACACACACACACACACACACACACACACACACACACACACACACACACAAAGCTGAGTCAGCACCCTAGTGTAAAGACAAGCTGAGAAAAAAATAAAAAAAAAGCACCAGCACACAGGGACAGTTAAGAACCCCACACACCTACACCTGTTAGCAAGTAGATAGATGAAGGGAAAGAATTCTCCAAGATTCAAACTTCAGAAGGAAATCGCAAAGATTTGTACCTGAATTCGCATTCTGACTATGGTCTTTAAAATAGCCTCAGGCAGAGAATTTAAAGCAGTTGGTTGATACTGTCACCTGGTGGCCAGAAGACGCAATTACATACTTCCCCAGAAAGACCTCCTGGGTTCACGATTCCACAGGTACATCCTGATTTCAGAAGTATTGAAGTGTTTATGGTATCAGAAATTCACTTTTGATTAAAGCTTTGCATCTTAGAATATTTGAAATATAGATAGCATTTATACCTCCAAAATCTATTTTGTTCCCACTGTGCTGCCATGAGTCTTGAGAGCAGGTTTGGACCAGAAAAGCATTGTTTTCTAAAGAGAAAAGAAATGCAAACAATGATTGTGCCCCTGCAATGTTTGTAGGGAAGAAAAGGCTTCATTCTATTTTGGACAATAAGAAGAAACACTAATAAGAACTTGCCTACCTTTCTACCTTTATGAACGAATCACAAAGTACAAAGCTCCATTATAATGTATAGAAATATTATTCAGGCATTTCTTGATCATAGCTTACAAGAACTGGTGTGTATTGGGCTCAGAGCTGGCTCAGCAGTAAAGAGCACACACTGTCCTTTCTGAGGACCTACCTGAGTTCAGTTCCCTGGACCACATTTAGCACTTCAAAATTGCCTGTAATTCCAGTTCCAGGGGATCCAGCACCTCTGGCCTCCATAGATATCTGTACTCACATGCACATACCCACACACAGACACACAGATACACACATAATTAGATGAAATAATTCTTTTTCTAAAAAGAATTGATATGTTTACTGACAGTATCACATGCAACAGGACTTCTGTGTATCTCGTAGTGTTGCACAAGTATATTTGTTAAATGAATAAGAAAATGAGCAAAGGGTTAGAGAGATGCTCTATGTGCAAAGCACTTGCTATACAACTGTAAAGACTTGAGTCCACATCCTTAGAACCCACTTAAAGCCAGACATGGTAAAATGCATCTGAAATCTCAGTGCTTCTAGGCAAGATGGGAAGCATAAACAGAAATACACCCAGAAACTTCCAAGCCAGCAAGCCTGACATGTGCAATAAAAACGGAAAAGAGACCCTGTCTCAAACAAGATGGAAAATGAGCAGTGACACCCAAAATTGTCCTCTGAGCTCCATGTGTATTCACACACATCCATGTATACACACCGTGAAAACATACACACAGGCACACACACACACACACAAAAAAAAAAAAAAAAACCGAATGAATGTCTAGGGTACAAAAATTGAAGGAGACGGCTTAACCTTTTATGACCTGTCTCAGCACATTTTTGCAAACTGATCTGAAAGACTTGGGTAGTTTTGATCTGATCTTTTCCAGTAGATTTTCAGAAGAGAGTCACCTACTGTGGAATTCACTGTGGCTCTCTCCTCCCTGGCTCACACCTCCATCGATGCTTCGGAACACCTGCCATGACTCCTGTGGCTTTTCTAATTCTGAACATGTATCTTCTCTCTTCCTTGGTTTTGTCTGTGAAATCAGGACCTTGGACAGCTATTCACCTCCTCTAGCAACTGCTCCAGGACTCCGAAGTCACTTACCAGGGACCAGTCAGGTTTGCCCCTACATCCCAAAGCCATTACTAGTAACACTAATGACTTCCTTCACTCTCAAAAGCCACCCAATACAGATGTCCAATGACAAGTCATAGCACACAGAACTTGCCCTCGGTCAGGTTAGAATCCATGTTTCTCAAGATTTTCACTTCCTGACATGTTCGTGAGGAATTTCCCGACAGAGAGAGCCCTGGATAGGTGAAGAGGTCTGCTTCAACTGGCAAAAATCTCAGACTTCATAGAGTAAATTTCTCTTTTATATAGTAAAACTAAATATTTTACAAGGAAGTTTACAGATCTCAGGGGCCAGCAAAAATTAGAACAACAAAAAAAGAGAAGCATGGTGTTGGAAGAAGGGAGTGGGCATGGATTTGATCAAAACCCCTTATATGCATGTATGAAATTCTCAATAAAGTTTTTGTAAAACT